CTTAAACGTTTTAGGACCTGGATTTTAATAAGTCAGAATTTTAAATTCAGCAATGGAGGCATTCGTATTTTTATGACTAGACATAAATAAAAGTGTCTTTGATCCATTTCTTCCTTATTTACCTATATTTGAATAGTAAAGCGTTGCTAGTTGACTGACTGTTCTTTGCGAGCTTAATCCATGAATAGTTCTTATCTAAACAGATAGGCTTCAGTGAATGTAGAACAGTGTGGAAAGAGCTCTCCACTATGGCCAAGACCAAAGAGCTGTTGAAGGACACCAGGGATTTTAATAAGTCAGAATTTTAAATTCAGCAATGGAGGCATTCGTATTTTTATGACTAGACATAAATAAAAGTGTCTTTGATCCATTTCTTCCTTATTTACCTATATTTGAATAGTAAAGCGTTGCTAGTTGACTGACTGTTCTTTGCGAGCTTAATCCATGAATAGTTCTTATCTAAACAGCTATGCAAGTAAGAAATAGCAATATTGTTTTGGGGTAACTCAGACTGTTTTACAAATTACAGTTAATATTGTTTTTTATTTGAGCTACTGAATGTGTTCACATGCAAATTTTAAGATATATCTTTGTATGCACAAAAAATCATGTCATTGCAAAAAATGAACAAAACATAGACAATTCACAAATTGTAGACATAGCTTGATCAGTCCATCTCAATTGACTACATGTATTTATTTCATTGTGCTTTACCCAGGTTGATTGTAACTAAGAGGATAATGTGCACAGAATATTCAGATTGTCAATAAAGATAGTAGAATAGAAATGTAATGGTGTTTCCATGCTGATTACATAGCTGCCATCAAATATGAGGATTTTAATGAACAAAACAGGTTATAATGCATAAATAATACATGATAATAATAATACATAGCATTTTCATTATAACATCACAAAATGCTTATTCAACTGGTTCCTTTTTTAATTGATTTTGACTGCTCCAAATAATCTATAGCTTCACCAATTTGATTTAGCAACTCTACTGTATATGCGATTAGCTTTTTATGATTGACTTGTGCTGTTATTATATGTGAAAGTAATAATAAATGTTTATTTGGATACAGTGTATCTTAAAACCTATGGTCCTATAATTCTCATTTTTATTGAGACTTTTCAACAAAAACCTTTGGTTGCATAACTGGTTGCCTTCTAGTTTTTTTTCCCATCCAACTCTATGTAAACAAACTCATAGAAATGTCTTTCATTCCTGTTTTTATAGCAGATGCAGATTGCTTTAATTTGTTAATAATAAATTATTAATTGTGCAAACATGCTCAAGGTGGAATATCATTGAAACTCTACATACAGTCCTAGTATCCCTTGAATGATTACAACCTAAATAATGCTAATTTTTCTATGTAGCTGAAAACTTTTAATTTCTGGAATGTAATATTTTAGTATTGTCAGGATGTTATTTGCTAAATATAACAAAAGGTGATTTTTAAAATCAAAACATAGTATCACTACATTGACTAAATG